TTCTTATGATGTATTACACCGATTCCGATATCTCTTGAAATAAACAAAACATAGCCAGTCTACTATGTGAATACTTACAAGACGACGACTTCTCTCACTTATTGAAACCTCTCTATGACCAGGATTCCAGATAGAGGGTATGGATCTGGGTAGCAAATGTCTTTCCATGCCAGGTATATGAACAGCTCTTGTAAAACAACTGGATTCAAAGGAAGGAGATATAGTTAGGATACAACAAGATAAGAAGTGGAAACCGGCAGAAGACAGTTGAGGCACCAATGCCCATACCACAGTCTAATGGAGCGGTTACAACGAGAAGCGGTAGATGCGTAAAACCACAAAAGAGATTGGAAGATTATGTAAAGTGACTGACGCTGAACGTTATATATGTTGAAATTTTATTTGTGCAAACTTCTTGATTATACATATTATAATTAGTGATTTCATCGCTATTGTAATTTCATAGTAGAAAAAGGGGGATGTAATGATATTAAGTATATGAGTGTTGTCAAAGYAAAAAGGCCCTAAAGAACACGCCCATGACCAGTGGTCCCTAGCGAAGAGACTCGAGGGCAAAAGGGACCTTAGCAGCTTAAGTACCTTTTACAATGACATCGCTCATGTAGGCTAGCATAAAAGAAATCAACAGCAACAACAAAAGACAACGAAACGACATCCGTGCAGCACAGTATTTTGGAGGCCAATCTACGTAGAAAATGCGCGTTTTACCCGCCGCACTGACGATTTTATTTACTCTCTATTGCAGAGTCCTGGAGATAGGCCGCCCAACAAATACATTAGAGACAGAAAAGAACGGAAGCGTACGCTTTTATTATCTATATGTATCGGCGCGCGCTCTTAGCAAAAATGCGGGTTACCTGTGGTATTACGTCACTATCTCGCGCCTCGCGACTACATACTAATCTGTGACAAGGTATGAAACACTKGTCACGTGATGGATCGATGTGTGCACCAGGTAGCTGGGACACTTTTTCGGAAAACGAAGATTCGACGGGTAGGCGAACTTCCACCGAAGGTAGGACGGAAAATATGGTGTGTGATTATTTGTCGTCAGAAAATACGCAGCAGGACGCAGCGCAGTGCTTTTGCGTTTTTAGCACAAATTATTTTCTAAACCCATTTTAAACCGAAAAAAACTTATTGCTTACTTATAGAAAGAATGGAAAGTACAGTAGGAGCATACACTTTTCGAGGGATTGGTTCTGCTAAAAGGTAAGCWTTATCATGTTTATAGGCCTTGTTATGATAGCTGGAAGTTCACGACTGCATTTGTATAAAGCTTAATGTTTTTTAACTTGGGACTTAAACTTTTGCAGATTGTGGCAATTGTATGAAAAAGAGGCAGGAAGCTTCGTCTCCATGGATGAGTTACACATGAACTGGGACGTGTCATTAAGTGGACTTTTCCTTTTGCAAAGAGGGAACGAAAAGTCATAAGGTTACAAATAGGACCAACAAGATGTTGGATTTACTCAAATGTTGCAAAGACAAATAGTCACTCACAAATGTTGTGGGATGATATTTTGAATGTTTACATTCCGCCGAAGCCTGAGACGTCTCTCATGTCCTGGTCGGTATCAAAGAACATGTTTATGGACGATGCGATACAATGGATGATATTATCGAGCGACGATCTTTGCGACGGAAAACGTATGGTGAGGGAACTGCGTGTTTACAAGAACTTTTCGCTGACATTTTTTGTTATGGGAAAAGAGGTTTTTACTTTGGAAAACGAGAAGGGCATGACAAAGGCATTCCTGGACAATGTATTCGAGTTTTGTGCAGTGGTTCCACAGTGCAAAGGTTTTGAAGTCAAAATTCAAGCCCCAGTGCAA